CATAACACCCCCCCCCCCATCACAGTGGTTACAGTAATAGTAACACATTATCCTCACTCAAGATACATGTCTGCTGATGTGTTGCAACTTTACCCCAGCAAGGTCCCATGTTTCTCACTCCGGGGCCCAGACTAAAAGATCCCTGTGTAGGGCTGGCTCCTTGTCATGGATGAAAGAAAGTATAAGAGAGCTGCCTTTTAGAGCTTCTGCACAATGTCATCATTCCACTAGTTAAAGAGAATACTAGCCAAGGCCAGCATCCATGGAGTACAGAAGTTTATTCCTCCCACACCCAGTGAGCAAATCCCATAATACACTCAGAGGGAAGAGAGAAGTGAATAGAAAATGATAATAATATCTACTCATCTCTGCAAACATTTGAGTCTCAAGTAAGAAAAGTTATATAAAAGTGCATTGTAACAATGCATTTTCTACTGATGTTAGAATTGCTATTGTTATAGTTTAATGTTATCTATTTCAGGGATCCAAGTAGATTTCAAGTCCTTACATATCATTAAAACTTCTCACTTCTCTATTTTTACCGTAAACATTTGAAAAGCTTTTAACCATCTTGATTTTTCAAAAGCTGTGTTTTGCCTTTTTTGCGTTCATGTTTTAAAAATGCCACAATTATAATTTAATATATTTATTTTCCACTATAACTGTATTAAAACCATTTCAAGAATTTTTTATTGCAGTGGCTCAGGAAGCTGAGGCAGGAGGATTGCAAGTTCAAGGCCAGCCTCAGCAACTTAGCAAGGTCCTAAGCAACTTAGTGAGACCCTGTCTTAAAATAAAAAGCAAAAGAGATGGTGATGTAACTCAGCAGTAAATCATCCCTGGGTTTAATCCCCAGTACCCCCCTAAAAGGTCCGGTTTTTTCTTTCCTTCCTTCGTTCTTTCCTTCCTTCTTCCCTTCCCTTCCCTTCCCTTCCCTTCCCTTCCCTTCCCTTCCTTCTTTCCTTTCTTCTTTAGTTTTTTTAACAATTAAAGTAATAAAATTCCCTTGTAAGAAATTTAGAAAATTTTGGAAGGATAAAGAAGTTTAAAAAGACCCCCCCTTTTTAAATCCCTGCATTAATATACAAACACACAAAGGCACATCCATAACATTTTCACATTCAAATACATTCAAATATTAATTTTTACTAAATTTAGCATCTAATGAATATTCTATTGAGACAATTTTCCTGTATGCTATTAAATGTACATTTTTGCTTATCATTTAAGTATTTTAAGGACATGAGTTTAGCAGTTTAATAGGTAACACTAATATATAATATGCAATACATAGTTTCAAAACTCAGTAAGGAACCAGGCCCACTATCTGAATTAAAAATTAGACTACTTCAACACCTTCAAAGTTACTTGCATACTCCTCTGCTGCTGTGCCTTCTCATCAACAATAACCACCCTTAAGTTTGTATGCTATCATTAGTTTCTTTCCTTTTAAGTGTTTTTACATATGTGTATGGCTCCAGTGTATCATTGAATTTTGCTTGGTTTTGAGCTTTATAAACTGGTTTCATACTGCATTGCTTTTTGCTGAGAGCCATAGCCAAGTAGGAATGAAGCATGGTATTTTGGGTTGAAAGGTGACCCTGCTCAGGGATTAGGGTGGCTCCCAGTTTAGGGTGGAACCTACTGGGAATAGGGCGGCTCCAGGATTAGGGCGGATCCTGCTGGGATTAGGGCGTATCCTGCTGCCTCAGGCGCCTGCTCCTTTGGAGTTCCCCTTGAATTCTCGCGGGGTTCTGAGAGAATTGGTGCGCAGAGCCGGGTGGAGGCAGTGTGTTCACAGAACGTGCGTGCAGAGTGTTGGTGAGAGTTCGGGAATAAAGAGTTGCTGTTTGATCTACAAGGTTGTGTGGTGGCTCGGTTATTTTGTGCCCAGCCAGACTGCGGCACTTTTCATAGTGGGATGCATATTACAAAATTAGCTTAAACTGTCCTCTACTATTACATACTTGCTTTCTGCTCTTTTACAAGGAACTTGTACATTAATATTTGTGTTTTCATATTTTGGGGGGAATAATTTCTAGAGGTGAAATTTGCTGGATTAAAGAGTAAGAACATTTTTAAGATTTCTTCTGCAACTGTACATTAGGAAATGTGTCATCTAGATTTTAATAAAACAAATCTTCAGATTGGCTTGGCAGATAATTATAAATTATACTAGCTTTCCACTTTGATGAGTTCTAAGAATATACAAATATCCCTGTGGTTTATCAAATTTAACAAGTCCTGAACTAAAGTCCTCAGTATTTTTTACTTCCTTAAACCCTGTCCTGTTCTGGTCACACTGGTATCACTGTCCCCTCAGTTCACTGGGCTGGAAACCTTATTCTGTCTGCTCCCCTATTCTACTTCAGCTACCCCACACTCACCCTTCCCTTTAGTCTTCAAGTCCTGCTTGTTATCCCTCTACAATATCCTTTGAAAGCCTCCTTTCTCTTCCCTTCCCTTCTTATAAATACTTCTTATAAATACTCCAATTCAAACCCTGCTATGACAGGGACCACTGCACAGTCTCCTAACTAGTCTTCAACATGTCTTTAGTCTTTTGTTTTTCTAATAAGTCCTTCACACTATTAATTCCTCAAAACATGGATTTGACTTTAAAACTCAAACCAAAAATATTTGATAATATTCCATTAGCCACATGATAAGATCCACATTCCTTAGTTGCTATAGGCAAAGCCTTTTATCTATTTCAATCTACCTCTTCGGCTTTATTCTTCATTCTCCATCCTTTCTACCTCACCCCAAGAACTTGGTATTTTATACCTTAGCCAGCCTAGGCTTCATATTCCCTATGTATTTTCCTTGTTCATATTACTTCTTCAGCCTAAAATACCTTTCCTCTCCTCCTCTTTTCTATCCTGTTGAAATGCTACTCATGCTTCAAGATCTCACAGAAATCCCAGCTCCTCCATGGAGTTTAACATCAATGTAAGTTATCTAATTATACATAGAAGAGTTGGATATGGTTGCTTCTTTTGAATGTCAGATGTCAATAAATGCAAAAATATATTTGTTTGTAATACTGGGTAGAAAAAGGAGACCACAAACTATTTTAAACATATCCATTACAATAAATAAAGATATATATATATATATATATATATATATATATATATATATATATATATATACATACATACACACACACATACATATACACACACACGCACACACACACACATATATATATGGGGAGATACATACACATGTGTCATATAGATATATATGTGTGTATGTATATGTTATGTGTTTCACATATATATACTTAGAGAGAAATGAGCAAAAACAGAGACTGAACCAGGCACAGTAGCGCACGCCTGTAATTCCAGCAGCTCAGGAGCCTGAGATAGGAGGATAATGTGTTCAAAGCCAGGCTCAGCAAAAGTGAAGCACTGAGCAACTCAGTGAGACCCTTTCACTAAATAAAATACAAAAATAGGGCTGAGGATGTGGCTCTAATTGAGTGTCCCTGATTTCAATTCCTGGTACCCAGGAAGGAGAAGTACTTTTTTCAAAAAATTGATAATAATAATTTTATTAATAGTATTAGTTTCATTTTCTTTCATAAAGATGCTTACTTGGGCTTAAATAGGTTTCCATTTTGAGACTTAGCCATATTTTGTTCATATGTAGAAGGGCAACCAGTTTCTTATTCTCTGTTTTCCAGTGTTGACTGAGTTGGAAGGGTCTTGTTCCTTTACCAGCTATGTCTACTCATTGTCACAGGTGGTGAATGGTCCCTTCAGCTGTAACATGAAACCAGTGCATTTGTAGATGATGCTAAATGGACAAGCTTATAATCTCTAAGTTCCTCTCAGCTCTCATGTTCTGAGATACTTTTTGCTTACAAGACAGTAAAATGGCTTAAGGTTAAAGAAAATGCTGATTTCTTCTATAACTCCCTCACTAGTGTCAAATAGCCATTTTCCCTTTTCTTAACTAAACTGACAGTTTGTTTTATGTGACAATTAGGACACTACTACCCATGTGGACTTATATGTACACCCTCCTGTCACCATGGTGTGGTTTGCTTTTATGACAAGGATGTCTTTTGAGATTTTTTGCAACTTTAATATGTTGTATGAAATTAATAATTTATAATTCAGTTTGAAATACCCAAGAATTTTTTTGTCCTGTAGTCACTAGCCTGTTTCAAAGTTCAAAAATAGAATGAAATTAATTTACAAAATATTTTTCTCTTCACAAAATAATGCAAATAATAAGGTTGAACATCAAAGTATGCAAATAGATATGTGGGATTAATAAATATCCTGTTTCCATCACTTAAGTCAATTTACCATAATGTTTTTCTCTTATCTTGGATATTTCTCAAGTCTCTTAAAATTTTTATCTGTAGTAATATAAACTGAATACCATGAAGATACCTTGTAGAGAATTAAAATGTTGATATAGATTTCAAATCAGAGTAGTAGTAATATTTGAAATATTAGAAATATTTCAAAATATATGAACTCATGAACTCTAGTAATCATACAGACTTACTTTATTAAGAAAGAGACTCAAAACTCTGACTGAAGAAAAGAGCCCCATTGTAATTTCCAAGAGACAAACTAATCCTTGATATATGATATTTGAGTTGAGAGTTGAGAGTTGCTTCTGGCAAACATAATTGTTACTGCTTAAACAAGTATTTCTTTTCTAGTAATTAGAATTTTTTTCATTTTAATGGGTAGTCATAAATATTAACCACCAGCAGTGCAGAAATAATTTATATTCAAATTATCAGCCATCACTCTGTGAACACATAAAACAATTTACATTTATTTAGAACCTTTATTCCTGAAGTACTCTCTACACATATTTCTTTACAGCCTAATTGCAATCTATATATAAGACTTTCCCACCTGAAATAGGGCAGTAGTCAAAGTAATAAAGATAAAGGACACAACATCATAATAAATAAAGAATGAAAAGTAGTTTTTTATACTTTGTTTCTATATGCTTTGTGTCAATAGGACTGGAGAATCCATGTTGACCAAATGCACCAGCACAAAAGTGGAATTGAATCTGCTCTAAAGGAGACCAAGGTATGTAGATTACTTAAATTGAATCAATATCCATTTACTCATCTGTGGGACACATGTTATGGGAAAACATGAAAGAAAAATAATACAATTTTTGTCTTTCAGAGCTCATTAATTAAATAAATCATATTACATTTCCGCAGTTCTAATACTTAAAACCAACTAAAGAAAGCTAACAATGTAAAACCTTTTATATTTTAAATACACTATATATATTGCATATATTCTATATATTACACATATGTATGTAATAGATATTTTAGAAACATTGCATCACTTTGTCCTGAATACCAAGGGATGAGAGAACATCATACCCACAATGCCTAGAACCTACAGCTTTCCCGGGCTTGCTGCCATGCTAGAAATAATCTTTTGGAGACGGTCATAAAGAAGTGAAGCTTGAGTGAAAAGTTATAGGTTCTAGACCAGAGCACTCTGTTTAGAGAACTCTTACAACTGGAATATTCTAGTTATCTCTGAATTGTGTGATAGGGAAGTCACGTTCCTCCCTGACCTACCTTGATTTTAAAGTTTATATAAAGCTAATTACAAATATACATAAATTGTAGATATGTATAAGGAGAAATGAATTTAATCAATCTTGCCAGGCTCTTTTTTATTGTAGTATTCTGCAGTGTGGCAAAAATATTCCTCATCATAAACGTTTTTTTGCCATTAAAATTTCACACTATCTTCTTTTTCATATTGACTGAGAGATATTTAACTCATTTTTAACTTGTTTTTAAAAATATTTCTGAGTTTTTTAATCCACTAAAAATCCTTGGACTTTTAGGGATTTTTGGACAAACTCCATAATGAAATTAGTAGGACACTGGAAAAAATTGGCAGCCGAGAAAAGTACATCAACAATCAACTTGAGCACTTGGTTCAAGAATATCGTGCAGCTCAAGCCCAGCTGAGTGAGGTAATTTAAAAATTATTTCCGAGGATTTATCCCAATTCATGACTCTAATCTCTAAGCTTGACACGATAGTTTTCATTTGAAAATTATGAAATGTTTTTCATAAATAGCAACACTTTGATTTTTCTGCCCATTTTAGGAAACCAAAAGAAGCAATAGAACTTATCTCCATTTTACATGTATTAGAAATTATTATCTCTTAGAAGTCTTTAAACATATTTTTTCATTTGATTTAAATAAATGAGGACATATGTTGTTGGGGAACATAAGCTAAAACAGGAACAGTGTCAGGACACCTTGTTTTGTTTCTAACTCTGTTGTTAATTTACTATAGGAGTAGGAGGAAGAATAGTATTCATTTATATGTGTGAGAGAGAAAAGGCAATTCTTGCCATCATGGCTTGCAGTAATATAGTGTAGACTATGAAAGCAAAACATGTTCAGAGACAAGCAGGTTAATTAATGAAATGAGACAAATTTTTCATTCTTTCAAAGTATTAGATTTCAACCAAAAAAATAAAAATAAAAACACTATCCTTTGAAAGCAGTAGTTCTTTATACCAGAATTAGGGGTATAATGACTTTCTTTGAGGGATTTATACACCCTATTTCCTATTGTGAAGGCAAACTAGTCAGAATACTTGCTCATGTCAGTAGAAGGCATATATTTTTTTCTTTTAGCAGACAAATTAGGAGGAGAAAAAGTGGAAGTAAACTTGATATACTTCTATACTCAAAGACCAAATAGAAAATAGTTTTTACTTTTTATGGTATTATCTGTTTAATTTGTCGTTCCCTCATATACACTTATATTTATGAATATTTTTGTTGAATTGATGTGAAATTCTTTGATTATAGCCACTGTGCATCTGTCCAACCTTAATATTAAATAATTATTTGTTAGATTAATTTCTGAGAGTGTATTCCTATTGATTGTACTGTCCTACTCTTTGTTAATCCTTATTAATTTCAGAGTTTGCTCTACTTTGATTGATTTTCTTTTTTAAAACAAAATTTCTCTGCATAACATGCAAATTTGATTGACCAAGAACCACTCTCCTAAACTGTTTAGGGATGGCCGAGGACAGTTTTTATTGTGAACCATGCCCGTGCAAGTTACACAGTCAGTATGTGAAGGTTAAGGTAGTTCATCATTTTATAGTGCTTGAGTTAAATACATGGTGCCTATTAAGGACATAAAATAACTTCAGTTAAATGTCACTTTCACAAATGTATTCATAAACAAAGAGGGGGGTTGTCATAAAATGATATGCAGAAATTGCAAACACAAAGAGGTCATGTTTAAGTAATCTGCTTCTGTTTTGGATTTGTCATTAAACAAAATTCTTTCCCCCTCAGGCAAGGGAGCGGTACCAGCAGGGAAATGGTGGAGTAACTGAAAGGACCAGGCTCCTGTCTGAGGTAAACATAGTGCTCTTGCTGTGCTTCTCACCTGTCAGCTGAGCCCCAGTGGCTCAGAGCCATTGGATGATTGAATACCCCTTATTTTAATAATTGTTTCTTCCTCTTCAAATTATCTTGTTTCAGAGAAAAGCCCTAATTTTCTTTTCAATGAATCAATTATTTATTCTTTCTCTCATTTTTATAAGATGCCTGAAGTTAAATTCAACATAAAATTTGCTCATACTAGCACACTGATAACTTTTCTTAATCTTCATTTTTATATAATAATTATAAATAATATATAGAAACGTAGGTAAAGTACTGACTGAGGAGTCTATAGCAAATTTTAATGTTAATCTGCAAGATTTAAGCTTTATTTTTAGTGATGTCAATAACTTGTGTGTGATCCTGGGTATATCTCTGTCTACAATTGAAAGTGGTTTACAACCTCTTTATTTTTGAGAACTTCTAGAATATCTGCAAATATCACTGCATTTATTTTCATGATCTTCCAAGTTAAGTAATATATATATTCTCTTTTTTCACTGAAGAACCTATGGGGGGTGAGGGAACTAACAAGATCAGAAGCCAATTTAGGACTAAAATCCAAGACTATATTTATTTATAATTCAGTATAATTTCATAAACTGTACTGTTTTGACAGTAAAGAATTAAGCTTTCTTTGTATAGATTATTTAGGAATAGTTTTTTTTTAAATACTCAAAATATAGCATTGAAATATTTAGACTGTATTCCTGTGGTGCTTCTAGGCAAATAAAACATTACGTAGAAGTAAAGTACTCACTTATGTTAGGTAAATTAACACTTGAAGGGAGTCCAGGGAACCATTTAGTTCTTTTGGAATAGGTAGTTATCCCCAGTTGTAATGTTTCAGGTGCCTGAAAGAAATTAATTTGCTTTACTTGGATGAGCACTTTATTCCCAGGAAAGGTTCTTACTCACCAGGATGATAAAAATAAAGCCTACTAAGTGACAACATTTATGACTTAGGTCTAGATTATTTGAAAATGTTTTAAAGATTATATTGTCTACTTATATTATAATACTAGTTTGGAATTTTGCTAATATTGGCTATAATAGTATAGTCTTTATGTAGAGTGCATGTAAGAACCAATATGACCGCATAGCATGTCTCTGGGTGTTTCAAGTTCATGGTTTAGGTAGAGTAATAGAAGACATTTTTTATATAAACATATGATATAAACATTTTTTAGTGTCCTAGAAAAGACACCATCTCTTATAGAACTACAATGTCATGAAAGATGCCTAGAAAACTTTTAGAATACAAAACCTATTTAGGATGCTTATGCCATTGTAAGTAATAATTATAAGAGAGTGGTATGGTAGATGCTATGAATTAATTACATGATTTGAGGGCTTAATGTATAAAATAACTTGGTTTTTGTTCTATATTGTCACAACATGACAAAGCTAAGATGAAAGTAATTTGGTGAAGTTTAACATTATGGTCATTATTGGAAAATGAAAACCTTCATATATATGCATACTTGATCTTATTATTTGAATTATGTACAAAATATTTCTAATAATGTGTTATCTTTTTATGTCTAATATCTAAATTAATTTTTCTCAATATATCGCTTAAAAATTTTGAAAGTTAATTAAAATTCAGTGCTCATGAAAATTCTTTTTTTCAATGAAAGGTTACAGAAGAATTAGAAAAGGTAAAACAAGAGATGGAAGAAAAGGGCAGCAGCATGACTGATGGTGGTAAGTACATGTTCATTTTAGGGAGAAAAGGAAGCAAAAGAAAGCTAGTTCTTCATGAAGTCTGTTTAATAAAGTGGTAATAATAAATAGAGGTGTCTGTTTTTTTTAATGAACTTTCTTACTTATTTCAAAACTAGTACATGGTACAAAAATGATGTCTGATAATCAGTATATTATGTTTTTTACAAAATAGCTGGGAAGAGTGGTAATTTTTTTACTATGATTTGGGGTTCTTTTTAATTAAAATTGTATTGATTCAAAAATAGAGTGGGAAATATTTAAGTATGTACTTTTTTCTGCCAATTTAAAAAATAATGTTTTATTCTATTTTCATCAAATGAGTTTTATTTTTCCATGAGACAGAAAAAAACGTACTTGTATATGCCCAAATGACTCTAAAGCAATGAGGGTGGTAACCTTTTTTTTTTTTTTTTTCTTTTCTTCCCCCTGACTGGGCAGGGTCAAATAGAGAAGAATTTTAATAATCTTCAAAAAATTATCCTCCATTCTGAGCTGATGATGATTACCTAAAGCTTTTCTATGCCCTAGAAAGACTTTCTAGAGTTCTAATGATATATACTCAGTGATCTTTCATAAGGGGATATGTAGGGAGTTTGTTGCAGTGTTTTAAATAGGCTCATTAACTGGGCATAGGGGCACATATCTAGCTAGTCAGGAGGCTCAGGTAGGAGTTCAAGTCCAGCCTGAGCTAACATAGTAATACCTTGTGTAAAGAAAAAAAGAATTATTAAATGGACTCATTATATATACTTCAGAGGCAATTCTCTTCCCTTTTTACCTGAAGATCCCCTTTCCTACAGGCAAACATTCTGACCCATAAAATTATGTTCAACAAGTTCTTAAATATCTGCTTAGCACCTTTTCATCTACCAAGTTAAAAAGTTCACCCACCGTACGTTATATATTGCATTCCTCCCCATTCTGAAAACCTCAGGTGTTTAAAATGCCACAGCAAAACCGTGTGAATGTCAGTGAGTTATTAGCTGTGTTTTTAACCCTATTTTTGGCTTGAAACAAAGTGAGGAAAATGTCATGCAACTATAATAAACTGATACTCTAAATGAACGTTTTTATTCCATGCTATTTTTACTCTACAGCTCCTTTGGTGAAGATTAAACAGAGCTTAACAAAACTAAAGCAAGAAACTGTTCAGATGGACATTAGGATTGGTGTTGTGGAGCACACATTACTCCAATCAAAACTGAAGGAGAAGTCCAACATGACCAGGGACATGCATGCAACAGTTATTCCAGAAGCAGCAATAGGCTCTTATTAAAACATACAATTTTTCATCCTTCTGATTAGTTTTTTTATGTCAAATTATATTTCATGCTGCAGAGGTTTCTAAAACACAATTATACCTCTTAAGCATGTTCAGTGGGTATTTTTTGCATATATATATACACACACATATTGTATCATGGTGATTATGATGGTTAAAGCCTTTATATTAAATATAATGTGTAATAAAGTAATTGAAAATTTTCACATTCAAAGAAGCTTTCACTAGTCATTACCTATGTCAAAACTGCAACTTATTTTTCTGAGCATTCCTTGTGTAAGCCAATGTGTATGACCCAAGCTTTCTGTAGACACTGCTGCTGTCACTACCTTGACTATTGACATAAGGCTGGCCCCTTTACTTTGATCCAATTCTGCAGTGACCACAAGTGCCCAAAGGCAGCTAAGAATAGGTGGTGGAATCTTATATGAACCTCAATTACCCTTGCTTTGTTTATAGTTACCTAAAATTACTATTTTTTAAGTATAGAAAAAAATTCAGTATCCCTATTAGCATTTGAAGTTCATTGCTTTTCATGAGTAAGGCTGCTGATGAACTAACTAGAATGAGGAAAGGGTAAGTATGTGCAGATCTCAGCCTCATCTTGTCTCTGGGGCTAGCTGTGCTCAGGAGCCATTCAATAGAAGGAGCCCTGGCAGCTCACATGAAGATCAGCATCTGGTACTAGTGATCTTTACTTATGCATCTTTCTGAGAACTTTTTGAACTAAATTGGTAAAATAAGCAGATTATAGTGTCAGCCTTAGAATGGAAAAAAAAAATAGATAGGGGATCACAAAGCAGGAAATGGCTCACATTATTTTCTTTAAATAAAAGGTGGCCATTATTTTCTTTAAATAAAAGGCACCAGTGGTAAATTTTGATAAAAATGCTTTGTGTTCAGGACAACAGAAATAATTAAATCTCATTATTTTTAATCTTAATAGTTTTCTTCCTTAAATCTTATTGTTTTCTTAGCATTTTCTTTCTAAACACGTATATACTCCAACAAACAAACAAACACACACACACACACACACACACACACTATTCCTTTTCATCAAACTCTCTATACTGTAAGTTTAGATAAGAGAAAATTGGTGTGTATAAACTATTACCCGAGAGGATGACAATCGATACAATGACAAATAAGTTAGTTTATTTAATTTGTAAAGAAGGGAAGGATCCATAGTGGGATAACAGGCAGTATGAAAGTCTGAAATTGTCTTCTTCCTCTGTGGTCATTGAGAGAAGCCAGTTTAAAAAAAAAAAAAATATATATATATATATATATACACATATATATATATGATCTGTTGTCCTGGAAACTTACTTGCATAGGTATTGTCATGGCTGAGCATTGTTTTGATGAACTCAACCCTTCTAGATAAATCAGAGCTCTCATTAAAATGTTTTTGCTCAGAAGCAAAGTACACTATTTTGTGCAAAAAAACTACAAACTCTTGCAGTGTATGAGCAGCCTATTTTTATTTCCTTTTTTGGAATTCGTTTTCACTCAGGTTGTCTTTTCCCATAGAAAACTGTTCATACCTTGAACTTCACTACATTGTGATTGATATGTTCTTCTGTCCCCCTAATAGACTAAGCTGCTTGAGAAGAGAGACAAAATCATTTTCATTTCATATTCCTAACCAAGTATCCACACATAGAAAGTGTCCAGTAACTTGAGTTAGTAAGCAGATAGGCAGGTGACTGGCATTATACAATTCTGGTAGAAACTTCTAGCTCCTGTTCTATAGCTTGAAGAATTCAATGACTTTAAGCCTATGTGCCTTATGTAGTTTCGAGACTAATTTAAAACTGTTTCCTGTGATATTATATTGAAAATGGAAGAATGCCTATGAACTGTTTTTTATACAATAGGCAAATACAATAAGCCTATATAGTTTATAAACAGAAATATTTATAAATGTATAAATAAACATATACTCATCATGTATTTTCTAGTTCTGTTCTTTGAGAGGGTCTAAAAACAGTTACTGCCCAACAACAACTTATATGCAATACCTAGTACTCAGATCTTGGAGTCTAAATGCTCTATTTAAAAATCCCAGAAGCTTGGGAGGCTGAGGCAGGGGGATTGTAAATTCAAAGCCAACCTCAGCTGCTTAGCCAGGTCTTAAGCAACATAGTGACACCCTGTCTCTAAAGAAAATATTTTAAAAGGGCTGGGGATGTGGCTCAGTTGTTAAGTGCCCCTGTGTTCAATTCCCAGTTAAAAAATAATAATAAGGACTTTTTAAGGAAAAAGTCTGATTTATGGGCTGGAATGGGCTGGAACAGGGAAAGCACAAATTAGCCAAAACTTTCTTGCTCTGCCAGAAAGTAAGGAAGTACTTAAAGAATGATGGGGAAATGTCTAAAGCCCACAGCCAGATTCTGGGACAACTTGAGCACCAAAGTGAATCATTGTGAAGAATTATAACCCATAGAATAATCATGAGTCCATACAATTATAAGTAAGAGAATGAATAACAGCTAATTCACTTGACATTATGTCAAATGTCATAAAAATAACAGCTAATATCATTTGGCATTATGTCAAATGTCATTGATGTCTACTCTTTGTTTAGAAAATCACCACCTGAGGGGGGATAGTAGAGGATAGGAAAGGCAGCAGAATACAACAGACACTAGTATGGCAGTATGTAAAAACGTGGATGTGTAACCGATGTGATTCTGCAATCTGTATACGGGGAAAAAATGGGAGTTCATAACCCACTTGAATCAAATGTATGAAATATGTCAAGAGCTATGTAATGTTTTGAACAACTAGTAATTTTTAAAAAAAGAATACAAAGGAAAAGAAAAGAAAATCACCACCTGACAATGACCATAGTGAATTGTCTTGGGTGGGACTCATCAATGAATGCTAAAACACTTAGTAAGTGAAAGTTTGATAAGAAATGGGGTATTTACATAATCTCAATGTATGTAAGATACTCCCCAAAGAAAAGAATTGTGTAACTCTACAATAGAGAAACCTGGCAGACACCACTTTAAATCAGTGATCAAACTTAACATTACAATGAGAGCAAATAGACATCAGATGCCTTCTGAAAAGGGCACACATGTATTTAGTTCCTGCTGAAAATGGATAACCTTAATCTAATCATGGAACAGACAACTCCGACAAATCCAAATTGGAAGACTATACAAAATGGCCTGTATTCAAATAAATGTAAGGTTAAGAAAAATAAAGACCAAGGAACTATTCCAGAGTAAAGGAGACTAAAGAGACATGACCACTAAATGCAGCAAATGATTCCAAATCATATTCTGAGCCATTATGTGTTTTTTACATATATATATATATATATACACACACATATATACACATACAGAGAGAGAGAGAGAGAGAGAGAGAGAGAGAGAGAGAGAGAGAGAGAGAGATGGAGATAGAAAATCACCACCTGGCAATAAGCATAGTGAATTGTCTCGGGTGAGAATCATCAATGAATGCTAAAACTAGATGTAAAAGTTTGATGAGAAACAGGTTATTTACATAGTACTTATATATGTACATATATAAATATATATTGTTGTTATAAAGGACATTTTGACACAATGGGGAAAATGCCAATAAGGTACATAGATTGAATAATAGTGTTTTAACTTCTTGATATTTCTGCTATGGTTATATACTAGAGTATTCTTGTGTTTAACAATACTGCAAGTATTTGGATGTCATGGGGCATCCTGACAGCAACTTAATGGTTCAGGGAACAAGATATATGTGTGCATTTGTATATTCAAATATGTACAGAGAAAGAGAAGGATAATGATAACATGTGGTGTAAGAGTTAAATGCTAATTATCCTGATTTGATTAGAGCATGCTATATGCTGCATGTTGAGATAGCACAATGTGTGTTGAGATAGCAAAATGATTCAATTAATAGGCACAATTAATACATGTTCATAAAAAGATGACAAAAACATCTTTTTTCTGAATGATTTTTCTATGCTATTTCTCAGTTATCTTAACAGCAAAGTTATATTGTACTGAACATAAAATTAGTGATATAATATTGTTGATTAATTATTAAAAATCATCCACTAGAAGGAAATTTTAAAAAGAAAAAAAAGGAAGGAAATGTAGTAAATTGTTAACATTTTGGGAATCTGGGGGAAGTTTATATAAAAGTCTATCTTACTTTTTTCAAGTTTTTATAAATCTGAAGCTACTTCAAAATAATTTTTTTAAATGATGGTTCTTAAAGATGAGATGTTCTGTGTAGAAGTGAGCCTCTTCCTGAATCAAAAAGCTAATCAATTTGTTGAAATAGTATGATTTCTCCATTAAAATTCTGTGACCCACTAAAAAAAAAATTATGTTATTCACTAAGTAGAGCAATTTTTTGATGACACTAAGGAAGTCTTCTTCTATTGACCTCCAGTTTAATCTAGGTCAGCATTTTCCTGAGTTTTACACAAAAACAAATGTTTCTTTAATCAGGGAAATTTGTAAAATGTTAAGCTTTATTTCCTTCATGATTTCCTGTTTATATCATGAATCTGCAAGCAGTAGATGTAGTTCCATTATTCTTTACAAATATTTAATCTCAGACCCTTTTCTCACAAGAACTATCAAGAATGCATCTTTAGGTAAATGATTGTGAAAATCATATGCAAATATGCAATCATTTTCTAACCCTTCATTAGATCCAGTGGGCCTATGTAAGAAAACAAGGAGACACATGCCCCTCTGATGGATAACTCTCCCATGAGGATGATTAACAAGCATGTCATGCTCTTGGAAAACAATAGAGTTTGAAGATTTAGGACATTCTGTAGAGAACCTAGAATTATAAGACCAAAGGCTCATCTTAAAACTTTTTATACACATCAAAAATGTTTTGGGTTGGGGTGGAGAATGTAACTCAGTGGTAGAGTATGAGCAAACCTAGCATGCAGGAGGTCCTGGATTAACACCCCAACACACCAAAAAATATATATAATTAAAAGCAGCAGTCTTTATTATGACAATATAATTATAGCAATATTTTTTTCTACCACTAAGCTACATCCCCAACCCCACTCCTTTTTTTTTGGGTACTAGGGATCAAACTCAGGGGCGCTTAATCACTGAGCCACATCCCCAGCCTTTATTTTTCATTTTGAGACAGGGTCTCACTAAGTTGCTTAGGACCTCACTAAGTTGCTGAGGCTGGCTTTGAACTTGCAATCCTCCTGCTTCAGCCTCCTGAGCCACTGATATTATACAGTGTACCACTGTACCCAGATGAATTCACCTTTTTTCAGCAATTCTTTCTTTGGAATTTAAAACACAAGAGAGAAAAAATAACTATCATGCTCATGTTAACATGTCTAAATAATATTTCAAGCATTAGACTTCCATAATTGTGTTTTTATAATATATATGAACATACAAAGTCCAAACCTGATTCACTGACTCATCACCAGTGCCTTATTTCAGGCTTACCTTGGTCTCCTCCATTCTCTCTGGTTTTAATGTCCCCTCAAAAACTCATGTGGAAATTTAGTTGCCATTTAATGGTATTGTAGAGGTAGGACCTTTAAGAAATGATTTGGTTATGAGGGGTCTGTCCTTTTAAAAAAATATATTTACTTCTTACTTATAGGTGGACACAATACCTTTTTTTACTCTGTGTGGTGCTGAGGATCAAACCCAGTACCTCATCCATGCTAGGCAAGTGCTCTACCTCTGAGCCACAACCCCAACCCAGGCTCTGTCCTTATAAATGAAGAAATGCCATTACCACAGCAGTGTGTTTATGATCTCAGAAGTGGGTTCCCACTTAAAGGATGAATTCAGCCCAACTTCCTCTCTTGTCTTCTGTGTACTCACCTGCCCTTTCATTGTGTTATGGCACAGCATGAAGATGCTAACCAGATGCCAGCACTATAGTCTTGACCTTCTCAGCCCTTTGAACCAGCAGCCAAATAAACTTGTATTTTTTTGTGAATTTCCCAGTCAGTAGTGTCATTCTAGCAGCAAAAAACAGACAAGGAGGTGCCTAGGATAAAGCATCAGAAGTGGTACAGAAGTTCTATGCCCTCATCGGGCACACCATGGTGCAGCACTCTCTTGTGTTCTTCAATCTGGAAGCTCTCTGAACCCCACCATTCAGATTTTTTACAGTTTCCAGTGTGTAGGCATGATAGCCTCAAAATTTCTTGATATTGCAAGGGGTCTGAAACACTATGCCAGGAAATAAGGACAAAGGTTATATATATCTTTCTTTTTATGACAATAGCTAGTAACATTCCATATGACTTTCAAGACATCACTCATCATAAGTTTAATCTTTTCTTCTACAAGATTATATGGTCATGTTTCCATTCATGTTCAATGGATGGCATTTTCTTCCTATGCCCTGAATAAAGACTTCTGTGTATACTAGTGCATGAAGAGTCCAGACACCTTGATTCCAAACCAAATCTGCTAGTGAAAGGAAAATTCATTTGCAAAGAAAATGTTCTGTAAATTTAAATATAGGACTATAATATTCTAAATACTTCTAGTCTTATGCAAAATGCATGATTTTGAATTTTTGCAGGCTCTCTCCACTGTTTACAATAACTTACAATGCTATGCTAGAACCAAATTCTTAACATCTCTGAAGAGCTGATTGTCAGATATTCAGAAATTTTCAGAGCCAGTTAAACTGTGATGGCTTTAAAAAGCCCACAAGAGTGTTTACACCAACGAAGTAGGAAAGCACTACAAATCGGAGCTTTAAAAAACAAAAACAAAACAAGAGGAAAACAAAAACAGCATGCCACTGATAACAAGTATTATAATGTCCCATGGACCAGAACTAAACACAATAAACATATAACAGAACGTTCCACCATATTTTAAGGTAGAGTACTATAGTACTAATTGAATCAGTTCAGATTTATAAATTGTTCTAAAAAATCATTAAGCCTACATAAAGCTACTCAGTGTGTC